GATAATAGATATATATATATATATTTGAGAGGATTCAACAAGTCATTTTTTTTAATGTTGGTTGATTGATCGATGTTAATTTGTTTTCTTTTCAATATTAGGTGAAACAATATTAGATTCACGACCGCTGTAAAAAGCATTTTTTAACCAATGTAAACATTTTTGTAATAGTGAAACGACAACTTTGATCATTTTCCTTCCTTGAACATTTTTTCTCCTATATTCATATACATCTAGTAGTCAAATGATTTTATTTTCCATCTCTAAATTAATGATTAGGAATTGAAATCAGGTAAACCTTAAACAACACCTATATATAACTTAACCTTTTGAAGTCTAACATAATCTTATTTTAATAAAATATCAAATTTAAACTTTATAAAAATCTATTTGTTTTAAAATGTAGAATTTAAACTTATAAAAAAAAATATATCAAACTTAATAGTTCAATTTATTTATTTAATAATATAATTAAAAAATAATATACATATTATATTATTAATAATAAAATTAAATAAATAAATTTATAATATAAAAATTAAATTATCAATATTTTTCACTACACCTAAACATTTTTCATTCCTTATTCATATAAAAAAAAATTTCATTCCTTATTCATATAAAATTAAAAAAATCAAAAATAAAAATTTTAACATATGCATCTTTATCTACTTTTTTTTTCTTCATTTTTATAAATAATTATTTAAACTACTTCATAAAGAATATTTTTTATGAAAAATATTTAGAGTTTTTTTTTTTACCTTCTTTCACTACACAATTTGTGTATAAGTGTTGAAAATGTATGAATTTTTAAATTGTAAATTTTAAATTTTAAATTTTAAATTTTAAATTTTAATAAAAATAAAGTAAATTATTTTTATCATATAAATTTTATAAAAAAACTAATATTTGTATTTAAAATACAAATTATTGACTTATTTAAAATTAAATTTTTTTAGTCTATTTAATATTATTAATATAAAATAAGTTTTTAAATTTAAACTTTTAAAAAGTCAAACTAAATCTATAAAAAATATATATATATATAACATATAATAGATCAAACTTATCTTTAATTTTATCTTTAATAATTTAAATTCTAATTTTAATTTTATAGAAAAAAATTTCATTCTTATTGATACAATCATTAACTTATATTAGTGTAAAAAAAAACCAAAATTATGGAAACAATAAAGGATAAAAGATTAAAATGGAAAAATAAAAGTCAATGTTGACAACGGCTGCATTTCTAGAATGGTAGATAAATAAAAAGCAAGAATCATTTGAAGTGTAAAAGATGAATGAAAAAGCAAGCATCATGCTTACCATATTCATGTGTATATGCTGCTCCGTGTAAAGTAGTTTAGATCAGCAAGGATGAAATAAAGCATTGAAGTGCATTTACATGGGAACCCTAATGAGATTGCAGGTCAAAAAGTTTGAAAACTCGCTCATTAGATATCTAGATGATAAAATGTGATACAAATGATAAAGTGATCAATAATATAAGAGTCTAGATCTTCCAAGAGATTTTCTTATTTTCTCACGCAAATTTTTAATTAAAACGCAAACTATTTTTAACACTCTT